AAAAAAAAAAAAAAAAAATATGCCATAGAATCTTGTAAACACAATGCTATTTTTTTTTAATTTTCAGAGTACTACTGACCCTAACTCTGACATTACACTACATTAAAGAAATATTCCATTACTCTAATTTTACATTCTATTTTTTAATTTATTTTTGACATTGGAACTAACACTTATTTTACACATTCACTTCTAAAACAATTCACGTGATGGAGTATAGGATATTTTGTTTAATGTAATGCTGAGTTAAATTTTATTATTAGATTATGAGTTAATGGTCCCTCTCTTACTGAGGCAACTTTTGTTGCATGTACCTAGAAATAGTTGTTTCCCCATTTCGAGTAGCAGATGAGTTTGAGAGTTAGCCTTCTTTTGTGAAGAATTTATATCAAGTCTAGATTTGTCCCTGAGGACAACTAGGGATTTTTGTCTTTTACTGTGGAAATAGTTTATAAGTCTTGCAAAGTATTCTGAAGAATGTTAAAACATAGAAATAAAATTCTTTTTCTATGTTGACTTATTGCAATGTTCAGATACTGTCAATGTGAGCCATTTATATTTTTAAAATGTTTTCTTTAATTTGCAAATTCTGCATAAATCAAATTAGCAATATCAAAGCATAATAGGATATTTTTAGTTTTATATATTTCTTTTTATAATTTTAAATATTTAATGACAAGTTTATTCTTTTCACTCTAATCTTGGCCACCTTTCTGAATTTCTAAAGGTATTTTTAATGCTTTACTCAGTTGTAACATAAGAAAATACTCAGTTGTAGAACACTATTTGAAGAACAAAGAAGCACATAAAAGTGCTGTCATTAAAAGAGCAAAAATAATGCCCGAAGGGTTCAGGTCAGAGACTTTTTCCTCCATCAGCAAATAATGTGCAGCAAAATCGTGTCTTCTTGTTTCACCGAGGGATGCTATCTTTCCATCTCGTCTGTGTGGAGAATTTGGGAAAGGTTCACTGGGGACGGAAGTAAAGCAGGAAACAATACTCATGCTGGGTTTGCTTTCTGGTCATCTCTGGCGGGCTGACACCACAGGTGTGTTGGGGAGGCTGGGGCCAGAAGTCATAATGTAGACCTAGGAGACCACAGGAAGGTCCTTTTCTCCCAATTCTAGCAGTTCTGTGGGGCACAACCCTATCAGAATTGCCTTAAACTGTAACAAATTCCCATCACAATGCCTGAAAGGCAGACAGCTTAGCAATGGCCCAGGGCAGACATAGATGGGACCAAGGCTGTCTTGTGTTGATCTGGTCATACCAGCATAGAAGCGGGTGGGCTGTTCATGGTTCTCAGGTCCATTAGAGCAGAAAAGGGTGGGGCGGTGCTGTGACCCTCAATAAATGCACTCAGGGTGATCTGCGGATGTGGAGTTCTGCGAGCGTCCAGCTAAGTAGACCCACAGTCTCAGGCTACAGGGACACAGATTTTCATGGCAGAAGATGACACATTATTCTCATGACCCCACACCTGAGGGACCAGTGGGCACGATATTTCCAGGGGAAGCCAGCAGATGATATGCCTGTATTTAAGCATGACATTGCAAAAGCCACCCAGGTTGTGATCTGCCCAGGGAAAAGCAAAGAGAGAGAATGGAAAAAAAAAAAATCTTTGTATAAACCAATATTCACACAAAAATATATGCAGTTTTAAATATGGATTAACAATTTATACGTCATGAAGGATTTTTCTGCCATCTGTGGGGAAAGAGTGGCTTATGAGCAAGTTGAATTCAGTAAAGGAAGAAACAAAATTGCTTTTATGTACCTTTGAGTATAAGTTGACATATTATACTTTAAAATTTTTCAAGTAGAGAATTTGAAGTTATACTTCCATATAGAATTATAGATTAGGTTCACTATCAGATAAGGTAGACTGGAAAGGTTTGTTTCACATATTCATGTTTTTATATCTTATAGAATATTGATTTTTATAAATATTTTATAAATGTCAGTTATACTTAGTGTACAACTACTAATTCTGCATTATAATTAGGCCCTTCTTATGATTTGAATTTGCATTAAAATTTTGGTGATAAAACATTAAGATCTTGCTTACAATTGTGCTTCTGTCCGTCGAACCACTGTGCGTTGCCACAGTGCAGGACAGGGGCTGCCAAAATTACCAAAGTGACTGCAGAACTAGCATGTTGACCATGTTCAAGATGTTCTCCTGTTTTGTTCATCTGGATTCTGATGGACTCTCTCCCAACCTCCCAACTGTGGCGTCTCTCCTTCATTCATTTATTTGGTTGCACAATTAGATAAGTAAAAACCACTTCCCTGCAAGGAGTGTAATCCTTATGTGCTACAAACAATTACTGATAAAAATTAAAAAGGAAAAGGAAACCATGGTAAAAAGGCATAGTAGGAGACAACTGCTCAGCTAATGGCATTTGGGAAGCAAAGAACAGAGGAAGAAGCCAGGAAGAGGCTGGAGACCACGTGTACTTCCAAAGCCACACCTGTGTCTCACCCAGACACTCTGAGGGCACTACCCTGATCCCTGGTGTGTCTCTCAGGCCCATTAAGCCACCAGTCAGGATAAATCATCACAGAGAGCACAGGCTGCATGAAGCAAACAATACCCCTGTATGAGGGAAACAGGCCTTGCAAACCCAGCTGGTTTTCAACATAGATAACATAGTACAGTGGTCACAAGATGTGCAAACAAAATCTAACTCATCCACACCATAATTTTTGTACAATATTAATAAAAATCTTTTATTTCAACTATAATTTTACAACTTTAGAAATGCCTGTGAAAGTTCATTCCAGTTTGGGGACACAAACC